AATATTATTCAGCAATAAAAAGGAATAAACTACTGGGGCACCTGAGTGGCTCAGTCAGTTGAGCGTCTGACTTTGGCTCAGGTCATGATCTCATGGATTGTGAGTTCAAGCCCCACATCAGGCTTGCTGCTGTCAGTGCAGAGCCCACTTCAGATCCTCTGTCCCTCTCTCTCTCTCTGCCCTTCTCCACTTGTGCTCTCTCAAAAATAAGTAAAACATTTTTAAAAAAGGAATAAAATACTGATACATGCTACAACATTGATGGACCTCAAAAACTTTATGCAAAATGAAAGAGGCCAGGCTCAAAAGACCACATGTTGTATTATTTCATATGAAATTTCCAGGAAGGGCAAATCTATGGGGAGGGAAAGTACAACAATGGTTGCCTGGGGCTGGATAAGGGAACAGGGATTCACTGCAAATTGGAAAAAGGAAATTTGGGGTTGGGGGGGTACATGGAAATGCTCTAAAACTGGACTTGGGTGATGGTTGCACAACTATAAAAATTAAAACTAAAATTATTGAATTGTATGTTTATAATAGGTGTATTTCATTTCATGTGAATTATACTTCAGAGAAGCTGTTAAAAAGATGCATATGGGGGCGCCTGGGTGGCGCAGTCGGTTAAGCGTCTGACTTCAGCCAGGTCACGATCTCGCGGTCCCTGAGTTCGAGCCCCGCGTCAGGCTCTGGGCTGATGGCTCAGAGCCTGGAGCCTGTTTCTGATTCTGTGTCTCCCTCTCTCTCTGCCCCTCCCCCGTTCATGCTCTGTCTCTCTCTGTCCCAAAAATAAATAAACGTTGAAAAAAAAAATTTTTTAAAAAAATAAAAAATAAAAAAAAAAGATGCATATGATAAAACAATACTATGTATTTCACAAAGACATATGTATATATAGGGAGCCATATCAAATGTATAAAAGTGAGGGGCAGGGTAATGACAGTAGGGATGTACAAATAGTGACAATATTAAGGAGAGGGTTGTCACGCATGAGAAAAATATGCCAAGAACCAGGGATTTGATTACCTCAACTTTGTCCTCCGTGATCTGAAAGAGAAAACAATTAAACAAAGCTATCATCAGCAGGACTTCCAAAATTAATAGTAGGATGAAGAGAATAATACTCATATTTGTAGAATGCTTTACTGTTTACAAAGCTCTTGCACATACATTTTCTCATTTAATTCTCAAAATAGCTCTGTGAAATAAGTATAAATATCTCTATTTCATAAATATATTCACTGAGACTTGGAATGGTCACATAGCTACTGGCAAAGGAGATTTAAACCCAGTGCTTTCCCCTACCTCCCTTAATTGGCTGATCCAATCAGATTTTTTCCCCCAGATATTTGTAATTAGACAAGAGTCTCCATGATTTTATGCACTGAGGATATACAAGTCTTGGAGTTGTGGAGTGGCTGTATTTTTTAGCAAGTTACACGGAGAAGAGAGACAATGTGCCTTCAAAGAAAGAAGAATGAAGCCAATTCAGTGACAAGAGGCCATGTGGCCACAGAGGCACACATTCACACCCTCGTAGCCATGGACATGTGCCACCCAGACAGAGTGCAGTCCAGCTGTCAGCTCTAGCTGCAGAGAGGCCTCTTGCCCACGATCATGCCCTTTCTGGGGCAGACTGTATCAGATGACTGAGTGGGGCAAGATATAAAGTATGAAGCAGTTCTGCCTGAAGTGGGCCACTCTAAAGAGAGATGCTTTCTCTGAGCTGCGCGTCAAGTTCACCAAGGCTTGTCAGACCTGTATCACAATTTGAATGCTTCCTCTGGCCAATTCTGCTTGCTCTCCTTTCTTTTCACCAGTATTGATTCCTAATAACTCCTATCAGCATTTGTTTCTGAAATGCCCAACCTGCAATACATCACAACGCATAGCCATACAAAATAAAACTCAGGCCTCCAGTCTTTCTGGTTCCTGCCTCTTGGGTGGACATAGCTGAAATTCCACTTGCTGGCCTTTATCTTAGGCTCTGACCAGAATGTTAATTTTCTGTTTCAGTGCTGCCACTAATAGCCACATAATCTTGAGCAAATCATTTTATTTCTCTGACTCTTTGTTTTCTTACTTGTCCATTGAAGGGTCGGGAAAGGCCCTTCTAATCCTCCTTCTTCAGTCAGCCATACAGTTGACTGCACAAAGTGTCTGCTGGGCCACTGAAATGATTTTAACCATCCTTAAAATATACTTTTTCATGACACTTCAGTCACAGCTAAAAGGCTTTCCTAGAAAGCACTCCCAGGTTTCTGGCTGTTAAAATGAACGCAACTATGATTTTGGCAAAGGGCCAGTTCCCAAAGTGGTTAGGGGAGCTGCAAGGTGATGCCTGTCACAGAGGCAGGAAACAGAAGTGATAGTACAGCAAGAAGATATAATCCTAAAGTGAAGGAGCTGGGCTGGTCCCACTATTCCAGTGAGGTGGAAAAAGGAGGGAAAGGAGTTTGAGGAACTGGATAGGAATTCAGTGACAGTTCCATATAACTTCTGCCTCCCTTTCTCTGTCCCTGTCCTGTCTTCAGCCTTGCATACAATGCCATGCTCTATACTCCAACAACCCAAAGTTCTCGCCTTCAGGACCACCCAAGTGTCACTTTTCCTTCAAAACTACTGTTCAACGATACCACCACAATCTCTGATGTTTCCATTAAAACTACAGTCCCACAGCATTGATTGTTTAACCTAGGTAACTGATTAGCTGGGATGCTATTGAAGAGCCTTACTTGCGTAACAATTTTTCTTCCAGTGACTGTGAAAAAAACACACAGATCATAAGAAGAACAAATGTAGGAACAAAAGTTTTTTTTTTTTAAATTTTTTTTTTCAACGTTTATTTATTTTTGGGACAGAGAGAGACAGAGCATGAACGGGGGAGGGGCAGAGAGAGAGGGAGACACAGAATCGGAAGCAGGCTCCAGGCTCTGAGCCATCAGCCCAGAGCCCCACGCGGGGCTCGAACTCACGGACCGCGAGATCATGACCTGGCTGAAGTCGGACGCTTAACCGACTGTGCCACCCAGGCGCCCCTAGGAACAAAAGTTTTAAAATCTTACAAAGTCTTTATGCATCTGGTGTCTAATCTGTAGTTCCAGAACTTTCTTTGTGTTCTTAAATGGAAATCCAGATGGTTTTATTTTCTTGAGGATCAACACTCCTTTTTGTTGCTCCCATCTCACAAATCTTATCTTTAGCAAAAACCACAGGGATTCTTCCTGTCATTTCCGCTTTCCCCAGTGTAAATATGTAATCTAGTCTGAAAATCCAGTCAGGCTTTCTTTGACTCCATGGGCATCTAGCACCTCTAAGTATCTCTGAAAGAGACTATCCATATGATTCCTCTGGAAACTTCTTTCCCACTACCCATCAAGAATATTTTACTAAACTTTCCCAATTTACTTCAGTGATCCTTCTAGCACTGTTTAATCCCTGGTGCCCCAACTAGGTTTCAAAATTATCTCCCTCCCTCCCTTCCTCTGCTCACCCAATCAAAATTCTCATTTCCTGACCAACTTGCCAATGAGTAATACAGCGAAATGCCCTGCATTGAGGAGGTAATACAAAGCAGCCTACAGGTGAGGAGTCATTTCTTTGAAGTCTCCTTATGCAGCAAGAAAACTATATCTCCTATGAAGTCTCCTTATACAATGAGAAAAACACCTCGCAGACATGATGTGATGATTCCTAATATACATAATAGTGTATGTAATAATAATTTTGAAAAGTAACTGTGGGTTTTGTTTTAGGATTTTATTTTTAAATAATCTCTACACCCAATGTGGGATTTGAATTTACCACCCTGAGATCAATGGTCCCATGCTCCACTGACTGTGCCAGCCAGGCGGCCCTGTTTTTTGTTTTGTGTGTGTGTGTGTATTTTTTAGATCTGTTCTCGGGGATTGACCTTCTGGCCCAGTCTTTAAATAGGGAGATATCTAGATCTAGATCTAGATAGTCTTAAAGAGAAAATCCTGTAGGATTCTGGGAATGGGAAACTGGCTGTGTTGTGCACTGTTACAGAATTGAAAGAAAAGTTAATTTCTTCTTTCCTATCTGAAACCTCTCAGGATACCCTGTAACACTAGCCACCATATGTTGAGTTTATTTCAGTAACTATTAGCTTATTTCCACGCATGATTCCATTTAATCTTCACAATGATACTAAGATCTGTAATGCAGTCGTCTCCAGAGTACAGGTGAAGAATGAAGCTTGCAGAGGCGTGGTATTAGCTATTTCTTCCATTTTCATACAAGATTTATCCTTAATGCAGATCAGGGTGGGTCTTACCATCCCAAAGCTGTCAGGGTTTTACACTGGTCTTCTCCGCCTGGCACTGCTGCTCTGTACGGAAAAGTACGGCCTCGCACAGATGAGGGGGGCGGGGAAAGAGGGCGGAGGCTGCCTCCCCCCAGGGGATGGGTTTGGCGAAGCCCCGCCTCAGAAGAGGGAGGCGTGGCCTCACTCGGATTCTCTCGGAGGCTCTTGGCCCGACTGCCGCAGAGCCGTAAAGGGCTCTAAGAGTCGTGAAGTGGAAAAGCACGGAAGCGTTGCTTTACGACGATTCGGACGGAAGCGCCAGGCCGGCGTTTGCTGCTTGCGGCTTTCGGGCTCACACGTGGGTGGTTTTCGGTGTTCCGGCTCTCAATTCATTCCTTTTGGCGTGGACAAGCCTCATTGAAGGACAGAGTGGCCGCAAAGGCCAAGGGTCGTGAGCTGATGAATATTGCTGTTGAAAATGAAGAGACAATGGGAGGAGGTCTGCAGAGTGGAGCGGAGGGGTCGCGGCTACGGCTCAAGTCCGGTAGGGAGAGAGTCGGGGGCACAGCCGAGACGGAGGCCGGCCGTGTAGAGGCGGGGAACGGATTGACAGGAATGGGGAAGACAGAGGATAGAGAAGGAACTGGGCAAAGGGTAGAGGAAATGCGAGTGGACCTAACGGTTGTGAAGCAAGAAGTTACCGACTGGTCAGAAATGGAAGAAGGGATGCTGGATGGCCGATGGGTAAAGCAGGAGGTAGAGGATGGACCTAAGGTGAAAGAGGAGAAACCAGGCACTTTGGAAGTGAAGCAAGAGATGGATAGTAGTTTTGTGGTAAAAGAAGAGAAGGTGAACGAAACAGATGTAAAGGAAGAGAAAGTGAAGGTGAAGGAAGAGGTGATGGACTGGCTAGATGTGAAGGAAGAGAAGAAAGCTACCATGGAGATAAAAGAGGAGGTGTTTGTTGGTCAGAACATAAAAAAGGAGGAAATGATGGATGAAATGTGTGTAAAAGAAGAGAAGTATTTTCCAAAAGAAGAAGTGATGGATGATACAAAGATGAAAGAAGAACCTCACATAAATCCCCCAGTGGGCTTCAAGCGGAAACTGGCCATGTCCAGGTAGGACAGGGAGAAATTCATCGGGGGAAATGCTGTAGAGTCCTCCGTTGTCTAGATTGAAGGAAATCTAGCAGCCAGATGTAGAATAATGAAAAATAAATGCAAATTTTGGTCCCTGGAGCCTGCCTGTTGGTGGTGGAGGGAAGGGGGAACTGGGAAGGCAGGGTTTTGTCAGATGACAACAAATACAGTGAAAATACTTCAGGCTGTTAGTGTCCAGTGGACAGTGTGGCCAAGTTAGGAAGTGAAAATTCTGGGGACCAGAAAACCCTTGGGCCAGATTCTGGTTTGACTTAATACGCTCTTGACACACTATTATTCTTAAAGAGATGATAGAGATAAGGAAAAGTCCAATAAAACTAACAATGAAAAAGTGGAGAAGTTAAAATTGGATAAAAATGCACTTGAAGTCACTCAGTGTCTAATTTATGGGTTCTATGAATATTTACTGCTTTTGATTTAATTTCCTTACAGTGTGTGATCATGTGACAGCATAGGAAATAAAATTGGGACCGTTAACTGTTAGAACACAGTGGGCCAAATAAAAATAACTGTAGTTTGGTTTTCAGTATCCCAAGATCCTGGAAGAGCAATTAAAGATAGATGATGGTTAATAGCGTTTCTAGGTTATTTTAATCCTCATTCTAAGTTGGCTGTGGAGTTGAGAAGAAAAGATGCAGCTGACATTTTGTAAATTTGACTGGGTCTTACATTCTTTTTCTGGTGTGTGTGCCTTTAAGTATCTAAATTCATGGATTGGACTTCTCATTAATGCGTGCACATACAATTGTTAGCAGATTGCCAGGAATTACAAGTTAAAACGTTAGTGAATGATACCATTCTCTGATTGCAGTAGGAAAAAGAAGTCAAAAGTGAGATGATTTTTTTTTAAATTTAATACGTCTTCTTGAATTATGTAGTACTGACAACATTGTAAATGTTATTTGGAGACCGTTTCTTAGAGGAGAATTTTCTAAGGATGTTAGACAGCTATCAAGTATTTTATCGGTTACTGGCATATACTTTATTCACTGACTACATGTCTGTAAATCGGTTGTGATGAGTAACTCACCATTTAAAGTTTAAGAATAAATAAGTAGAATTAATATTAAGTTTCTTGTGGGCTTTTGTAGGTGTGAAACTTGTGGTACAGAAGAAGCAAAGTACAAATGTCCACGTTGTATGCGATATTCCTGCAGGTATATATGTAATTTCCTACCTTACTACCTCTCTCTATACCCTTCTTACCTCAGAGTATAAAAGTACCTCCTCTTTGTCTTTTCAGTTTGCCCTGTGTAAAGAAACACAAAGCAGAACTGACATGTAATGGAGTTCGAGATAAAACTGCATATGTTTCCATACAACAGTTTACTGAAATGAATCTGCTTAGTGGTAAGTCATCTTATGCATGGCAGATTGGTAATTCCTGGCCATTGCGTATGTCATTTGTTTATTTTTCTATTTTGAAATTTTTAGATTATCGATTTTTGGAAGATGTGGCAAGAACAGCAGACTACATTTCTAGAGATGCTTTCTTAAAAAGACCAATAAGCAATAAACATGTAAGTATTTCTTTTCATCCCTTACAGTTACAATTCCTTTTACTCAGTTAGATTCATTTTTAAACCTAATAAATGTATTAAGTGACTACTGTGATCCAGAGCTATTGCAGTTACTAGTGATACATCTGTGACCAGAACAAAGTTCTTCCCCTCATGGAGCTTGTAGTGTGGGGAGAGACAGATGAGGAGAGGCACAGCTATAATTACAGATAGAGTTAAGTACCTGTGGAACATAAAGCACAGGAAATTAAAGAAAATGAAAATGGTGTTTGTTGGGAGGAGATTGTGAAAGTATTTTCAATATAGGAGTCAGGAGAAGCTTCTCAAGAGATGACATTTAAGCAGTGATCTGAATAATGAGAAAGAGGCAGCCACGTGAACCTTTGGAGGAAGACTATCCAGGTAGTGATAAAAGCATAAGTAAAGACTGGCTTGGGGGGGGGGGGTTGGTACATTTGATGATTAAAATGGGGACAGGGTGACTGAAACATAGTTGAGTGAGGGGGAGAATATTGAATATGAGGTTAGAGAAACTGGTAAGGGCTCCTAATACAGTCTAAGTGAAAATAGAAGCCATGGCAGTGTTTTGAGCACATTTGCTTTTTCAAAGAGCATTCATGCTGCTGTCTGAAAAATGAGCGTTAGTGGGCAAAAGTGGAAGATTGAAAGCAGGGAGTCCAGTTACAAAGTTATCACTGTGGTTGAGATGAGAAATGATGGTGGCTTGCATAATACTGTTAAATTATGGGGAAGTGACTAGATTCTAATTTTGAAGGAAAAACTAACAGGACTTGTTATTTTCATACCCTTTTATCCCTTTTTCATTCCTTCAGCAGTATGCAGAATTAAAGTTTACATGTTTGAAATACATTGCAACTGCCATTCTAGAAATTCTTTAATAGTGTTATTGAATCATGTCATGGAATTATGTTCCTTTTTCAAAGGCCATTTTGGCACTGGAGTTGCAGAATTTTATTGCTTTTAAAACACCTGATTTTATTGGTATTACCGTCCTGATACAGACTTGACATTTCACATATCTGAAAGGAAAATTATCATTCATCAGCATTTTTTCTCAAGAGTAATTAAGGGTAATTAAAATTCTGCTTAGGAGCACCTGGGTGGCTTGGTCAGTTAAGTGTCTGACTCTTGGTTTCTGCTCAGGTCATGATCTCATGGTTGGTGAGTTTGAGCCCCATGTCGGGCTCCTAACAGGCAGTGTTGAGCCTGCTTGGGATTCTCTCCCTCTTTCTGGTCCATCCCTGCTTGTGTGCGCGTGTGCATACATTCTCTAAAAATAAGTGAACTTTAAAAAAAAGAACATAAAATTCTTCTTAAAAAATACTCTTTAAATTTTTTGTTTTTATCGTGAAATCTTGCATACGTATAAAAAAAGTATAAAATAGGAATACACTGTTCAATGAATAATCGTAAAGTGAACATCCATTAACTACCACCCAGGTCTAGAATTAGAACATTATCAACTTCAAAAATGCCCTGCCACTCCCTTGTGCCATTCCCTGATCCATTTTTTTCTTCTGAATAGTTTTCTAGTTTATGACCATATTACAATTTATTTATCCATTCTATTGTTCATGGGCTCTGGGTTTTCTGTAATAACAAAAAAAAAAAAAAACCTTAAAACTATGAACACTTTTGTTAATGAATTTTGGGTTATGTGCACACCTGTTTTTTCTAGGGTTTACGCCTGGGAGTGAAATTGTTTTATTGTGGGGTGTGCACATCTTCTGTTTTACTGGATGTAACCAAAACATTTTCCAAAGTGGTTATACCAGTTTAGACTCCCAATGGTGTCACATCCTCTCCAATACTTGATATGGTCAGGGTTTTAAAATTTTTGTAAATTTGTTGGCTGTGTAATTTTACTGGGGTTTTTCACTTGCAGTTCTCTGATTCCTTATGAGATTGAGCATCTTTCAAATATTTTATTGGCCATTCGGATTTCCTCATGTGGAATTCCTGTTCAAGTCTCTTGCTCATCTTTTTATTGGTCACCTTTCTTTTTCTTACTGGTTTGTAGAGATTCCTTGTATTTCTTGGATGCCTGTTGGTGGTTGTATATGTTATAAATACTTTCTTCCATTCCCAGGCTTATTTTTCACTCTCTATAGTGTCTTTGATGAATAGATGGTCTTAATTTTTTAATATAGTCAAATTTATTGCACATTTCCTTTATTGTTAGTAGTTTTATGTGTTTATAAAGAAACTCTTTTATACTTTGAATTTATGAATCTCTTCTTCCATAATTATTTTCTAAAAGCTTTATGTAAAGCATTGCATCTTGCATTTATGACTGTAAACTACCTGAAATTAATTTTTGTGTATCATGTGGAGATCCCATTTAATTTTCCATATGGATAATCCACTTTCTTAGCACCATTTATTGAAAAATTCATCCTTTCCCTACTGCTCTGTAGGACCTCCTTTGTCATATATCACACGTCCATACATGCTTGCGGCAGTTTCTGACCTATCTGTTCTATTCTGTTGGTCTACTTATCTATATACACCAATACTACACTCCTTTATTTGTAGTTTTTTTTTTTTAATGTTTATTTATTTTGAGAGAGAGAGAGAAAGATGGAAAGGGCAAGCAGGGGAAGGGCAGAGAGAAAGCAGGAGAGAGAACCCCAAGCAGGCTCCTCGCTGTTAGCACAGAGCCCAACATGGGGCTCGATCTCACAAACCGTGAGATCATGACCTGATCTGAAATCAGGACTCGGAGGCTTAACCGACTGGGCCCCCAGGCACCCCTCTTAATTGTAGTTTTTTACTGCAACTAATTATCTCATAGAGTATTTCCTATGATTTTGTTCATTTTTTAGAGTATGGCTGTACTTTAGTATGGGTACGGCTGTTAGTAATTCTATAAAAATGTGAAGAATCAGCCTGTTGACTCTACAGTCCCCTAAATTCTCCTGGGAATTTTGATAGGGGTTGCATTTATTTTATAGAGTAACTTGGGTAATTGGACTTCTTTACAGTATTAAATCTTGAAATCCTTCACTGTGTTGTATCTGCATTTACTTAATAGCTTTAATATCTCTGATTTTCTCAGTGGAGATCTTACACATTTTTTGTTAGGTTTATTCCTAGGCACTTTATTTTTTCATGCTTTTTTAAATAGCATTTTCTTTGTTTTTTTATCTCTTTGTTGGTATTTAAGAATGAGATTTTTGTTGTTATTTATTTTGTGTAATTATAATCTATGTTTTATAGTACTAAAATTTATCCCAGTGCCTTATCAATAGACACCTTGAGATTTTTCAATTATGTACATTTGTGAAGTTAATACATTTATTAAACATTTCATCACAATTTCTTTTTATCTTTCTGTCCTTATTCTTCTCTTTCTCTTGTCTTACTGCCTTATGTTAGGACTTCCCATTCAGTGTCAAGTACTAATGTTGGTAGTAGATATTTATGTTTTAAGCCCCAAGTCCACACAGTATGCAGTTAATCCCTTTGTCAATGAGTTGTGATAACACATGTGAAGTAGTATCTACTAGGCAAGCTCATCAGAGATTCACTGCCCAAGGTTTTTATGGGGGCTGGTCACATAAGCACCCTCTGCCTAGCAGGTGCCAAATTCCAGACTCCCAAAAGAAAAGGAAATCAAACCATATTGTTTTACAGACAATTCAGGCACAGTGAACCATACTTACGATTTTAGGAAAAGTTTTATGTTAGTTTAGGGAACCATTTACCAGTCATTCAAATTCCCACACACTAGCCTAAAGATAACCGTCTCAGGCCCGCTGTGTTACCTCTTCTGTACATACTGTTTTGCAACTCCTGGTCATAGAGGGGAAACTTCCACAATTGCACCATGACGTTTGCTCTTAAATTTTTTCTAGAAATAATTTGATGACTAGATTATGGAAATTCTAGTCCTAGTTTGTTATCAGATTTTATCATGAATGGTAGTTATATTTTATCAAATACTTTTTCTGTATTTGATTATTTCATTTGTGTTCTTTTAATCTATAATTTTCTAATACGAATAATATTTTAATTGATTTTCTATTTTAAGCTAAACTTGCATGGTGTGTCATTATCATATCAAGCTTTTTATACTTTGCAGAATTCATTTGTATTATACATGTATATATACCTTATCCATGCATTCATTTTGTATTTCTGTGCATTAGTGAGATTGACCTCTCATTTTCCATTTTGGTATTCTCAAGTTTCTGTATCAGTATGATTCTAGTTTCAGAAAATTATTTGGGAATGTTCCCATTTTATTCTTGGATGCATTCACTAATATTGTAATTACTTCTTCCTTGGGAGTTGGGTAAAATTTATTAAGGAACCAGTATGGGCTTAGAGTTTGGGCCACTGAGGTATATTCTTTACTATTTGTGGGACCGTGTGTAGGTTTTCTGTGTCTTCTTGAGTTAGTATTAATAGATTACATTTTTCTAAGAATTTGTTCATTTGACCTAAATTTTAAAATTTATTGGCATAAGGTTCTTCATAAACCTTCTCCTTTACATGTCTATAGGAGTTATAGTAATTTCTTTTATAATATGGTTATTTATGTCTTTTTTTTCCTAGATCAGTTGCTATTACATGTTTTTTTCTATTTTGTTAATGTGTCCTCTTAACTTTTGTTATATCTTTTTTATGTTAGCTTAATTGCATTATGATCAGAGAACATACTCTTTTAAGTTCATTCCTTTAAAATGCATCAGGACATGGGGCACCTGGGTGGCTCAATAGGGTTGAGCGTCCAACTTCAGCTCAGGTCATGATCTCATGGTTCGTGAGTTTGAGCCCCACATCGGGCTCTGTTCTGACAGCTCAGATCCTGGAGCCTGCTTCAGATTTTACGTCTCCCCCTCTCTCTCCCTGTTCCCTGCTTGCCCTCTGTGTCTCTCTCTCTCTCCCTCTCTCTCAAAAATAAATATAACATTTAGGAAATCAAATCAAATCAAATCCATCAGGACTTGTGTTTATGGCCCAGCATATGGTCAAAGTTTTAATGTTCTCTGCTTGAAAAAAATATATTCCGGGGCACCTGGATGGCTGAGTCAGTTGAGTATCCAGCTCCTGACTTAGGCTCAGGTCATGATACCCAGGTCGTGGAATCAAGCCCTGTGTTGGACTCCGTGCTGAGTGTCGAGCCTGCTTGGGATTGTCTCTCCCTCTCCTTCCTTCCCCTGTTTGCATGCACGTATGCATGTGCATGTGCACACTCGCTCTCTCTCTCAAAATAAATAAACATTAAAAAAAAATTCTGCAGTTGCTGAATATAGTACTCTATATATACTTTATAGGTCAGATTTATTAATTATGTTCAAATTGTTTATAATGTTACTTTTTTTTTGGTCTGTTTCGTCTATAATTTTTAAAGAGAAGTATGTTAACATTTCTCAATAGATAAAATCAAACAGATCTGTGAGTTTCCCTTGTGGTTCAGTTTGTTTTGCTTTGTGTGTTTTAAGGCTAAATTATTAAATGCATACCTCACGAAATACTTCTTGGTGTATTTAACCTTTGGCATTATGAGGTAACCCTCTCTGTCTCTAGCTTTTTTTGTACTTTGACTAACATTTACAAAGCTGTATCAGTTCTTTGGTTGGTTTTTGTGTGGGCTATTTTTTTCCTTACTTAAGGCCTTTCTGTGTCCTTATGTTCTGGATATAGTTGGTTTCCAGTTTTTCTCCCATCTGACAATCTGTAACTTTTAACTGAATCATTAACCTCATTTACATTTTAATAAAATTACCTGTATATTTGACTTTAAGTGTGTCACCTTAGTTTTGCTATTTGTCCCAGTTTTTTTTTTCTTTTTCTTGTCTTTTGGGCTGATTTTTTTTTTTTATTTTTATCATTTGAATTTTTCTCTTTTATCAGTTTAGAAGTTATATACCCTTTTTCTATCCTTTCGTTGGTTAAGCTATACATTACAATATGCATGCTTAATTTGCCAATATCTGAAGTTAAGCAGTACCTGAACCAGATGCCTAGACAATGCAAAAGACCTTAAAACAGGAGTTGGCAAACTTTTTCTCTAAAGGGTCAAATAGTAAATATTTCTTCCAGGCCAATATGGTTTCTGTCACAACTACTCAGCTCTGCCATTGTGTAGCAAGAAAGCAGTCATAAACAATATTTAAACAAATGGGTGGGGGCTACATTCCAACAAAATGTATTTATAAAGATAAGTAGCAGGCAGATATAAGTATATCAGCAGTTAACTTAAATTCCATTTAACCTTATACTGACTTTTCTTCCTGTTTTGAATTCTTTAAATTGACTTTTAAAAAAAATCTCCATACAGTAGTTACTGTTTTATTCAGCCAGTGTTTATTTGGGTTTATCTTTATATTTCCCACTTTCTTTGCTCTTTATTCCTTCTGTCATCATCTTAGACCCTTTATTCCTTCTGTCATCAACTTAGACCCTTAGAGATCACTTTTTTTCTGCCTCAGGTACATCCTTTAGAATATCCTTTAGAGAGGGTTTGCTGGTTACCACCACTTGGGTTACTTTGTAGATTTTTTGAATTTTTATTTATTTGCCATTCTTCACTCTAAAATGATTTTTCTCTATAGAATTCTGGGTTTAGAATTATTGTTCCACTGTCTTAGGGCTTCCATTGTTATTGTTGCAAAGTCATCTGTTGTTTTTAATTGCCTTTGAAATCTTTTTTACTCTGGCTGCATTTTTTTATGTTTTCTGTTCTTTATTTGCACTATAATATGAACATGCATGTTTTCTTTTTCTTCATCTTATTTGAGAATTGTTAGATTTCTTGAATCTGTGTTGTATCTTTGATCAGTTCTGGGAAATTTTCAGCCCATTTCTTATTCCTTCTGTCTTCTAAAACTATCATAAATGTAAGTTAAATCTTCTTCCTACCTATCCTTTAACTTACTTGATTTTTTATCTTTTTTTCTCTGTAGTGTATTCTGGATATGTTCTAGGTTTAGTTAGTTCTTATAAAAATTTGCTGAGTCAGTTTTTATAGTTTCTCTTCACTGCAAGTATTTTCAAGCTGTTCTTTTTTTTTTTTAATTTTGCATAACTGTTCTACAATCTGTGTATGATTCTTTTAGTGTCTGAATACATGGAGAATTCTCAGCTACCTCTTTTTTTCTCTTTTGGTCCCTGCTCGCTAACCTTTGTTTTCTTGTATTCCTTATGCTTGCTTATTTTTTATTGAGTGCTACTTTTTTTTCTTAAATGATTTGTGAGAACTTTTTTCAAGAGTAGGACACAGGCCTTTTATTGTGCCAGGTACCTGGGAATTTTGCAAATCTGGGCCTATCCTAAATCAAGTTGAAAGTTTAAGATTCCCTTGACCACACAAGCAAAGCAAATCATTTCAGACCTGAGTAAGAACTGGCCCATGACCACAGCTTCTGATGAATTGTTTTTCCTCACCCCCTGCAGCCCCCACTGTTCCAGTCATTCTGATATAAATTTCCTAGCATGCTCTGGGGGTAGGGTTTATTTCTGGTTCACCCTTACCTGAATATTAATTAGGCATATTCTGTGACTCAGCCTCATTTCATGAGGGGTTCCTAAAAGATTAGAGTCATAACTCCTACCCTCTTACTGAGAAAGCTGTTGAAAGGAAAAGCCTGTATTTGCCAGAATTTGCAAAATTTGCCAAAAAAAAAAAAAATATCTGGAGAATTTTCAGCCCATTTCTTATTACTGCTTTGCTTACCTCTCCTGGTTTTCACTTCTCGTTAAATATTGGCGTGTATTTTCTTGTTTTCTTGTTTTCTTGTCAGCTCTCCAGTGTTTTTTAAGGTGATTTTGAAATGTATTTTATTACATATGTGTCTTTCCCCCATTCTCTGATATTCTTAGATGTTTTCAGTGGGAGAGTTGGTCCTTATAATCATTACCATTACTGAAACCAAAGCCCTATAAGTTATAAAACTGCATGTAATTTCTTAAATTATTTCTCTTTTTAACAAGTGATAGCTGACTCTTCCTTTCCCTTGGCTTATGATTTAATTCTCTAACTCTTAGCATTGCAAAACCAAAAACTTGCACTTATACCTTGCCATTTGAGTGTTCAAGGAAGAAAACTTGATGATATTACTTCCTTCACTACTTTCTGGTATTGCCTAGTTCTGCTCAGCCAACCCAGACGGGTAGTGGAGTAAAACATGTCAGAGCCAGAATATTCACATGTCCCATTTTGTATAGCCTACAGTAGTAGCTACATTAAGCTAAGCCTTGTAAGTAGGCAATGCCTTGGTTCCTCCCTTGAGTGAACTACCTGTATAGTTGTATACAGCCAAGTATGGTATAAAACCTCAGAAAGGGGTACATGGGTAACTCAGTTGGTTAAGCATCTGACTCTTGATATCGGCTCAGGTCGTGCTCTTGCAATCGTGAGATCAAGCCCTGCAACAGGCTCTGTGTTGAGCTTGGAGCCTGCTTGGGATTCTTTCTCTCTCTCTGCCCCTCCGCTCTTTTTCTAAAAATAAATAAACATCAAGAAAAAGTTCAGTAAAAGAAAAGGAACTGTACAAGTAGCCCCTATGAATTACCAAATGACCTGTGTTTTTAAACATCTCATTAAATCCTTCTTTTGGCTTACAGAGCATATGATTAACAAGACAGCCTCCAGAATTAGCTATATCTGGGTTTTATTATAGGCTCTCACTCTCAGAAATAGGTGTATAATGTTGGCATCTCATTAACTTTCCTTCCTAAATTGAGGGTAGTAGTAGGTAGGTACCAGTCTCAAAGTATTGTGAGGATTAAATGAGATACTAATGTTCAGCACAGTTTGTGAAACATAAGTACTCAATAAATGTTAATTATTATATTTTGAACACTGTTTTATTCACTGTTGAAATTTAAGGCATTTTAAAATTAATTTTTCTATTTATTTATTTTTGGTTGTTAGATGTATTTTATGAAAAATCGTGCTAGAAAACAAGGTATTAATTTAAAGCTTCTACCCAACGGATTCACAAAGAGGAAAGAAAATTCAACATTTTTTGATAAGAAGTAAGTTTCTAACTTCATTCTTAGTATATTGGGTATTCTAATTTGATCAGGAACATCTTTGAAGGTTTGGTTTGATATAGAGCATTGCTGCCCAAAGTGTAGTCTGTGAGCTTTTTGTTACTGGTCTGTGACAAGATGATCGCACAAATTGAAAATAAGCATTTAGAAATTTTAACTAATTTTATGTCATGTGAATAATAAAAATTTGGGCTTACAGTTTGTGTGTATATGTGTGTATGTGTGTATCTGAGACCTAAGATACCATGGAAGTATTTCAGAGGTTTCATGGGCAAAATGATGAATCAAAGCAGGACCCTGCACAATTTTGACCCAAGCAGTTTGGCATTTATAATCCTTTCTACTTAGGGAAATACAATTTCACTTGAAAGCCAATTCTGAGGAAGAGAGAGGCTTGGAAAACTTACTCTGTAGTAAATCTGAAGTATAGATGATGCAATAGAGATTAACCTGCTGCTTTCTGAGAGTGTTAGGTCTGAAAGGTCCCATTAGTACAGAGGGGAACAGGATCCCAAAATACTACAAGTAGCCCACTAAATTATTAGATAATACTTTTCAAATGTCCACCTTCTGGATTTCGAGTAAAAAAATTTCTGAGTGAGTTCCTCCTTCCTTAGCCTCTTAGTAACTTAGTAACTGCAACTTAGTAACTTGCAGTTAAATTCTCTGGGCCACATCTGCATGATGTGGGGGTTGTACTAGGTAAACCCTAAGGTTCCCTTCCAGTTTTACCACTTCATAAATTGAAAAGGCAAAACCATCAGAATTATCATTACTCTAATAGAATTTCCACCTTTTCAAAAAAATATTATATTAGGAGATGGTATTACCCATTTATTTTTTTATGTTTCAAGAGGAATATTTATAAAAAGTGATTTTGCTTTTTCCTGGGTAGCTTTCCAGAAATAAAGTAATGTTTTGCATTTATCAAATATGAGATGATTCCACTGTGCATTTTCAAGCTGACATATTTAGAAATTGACATAATTTGTTTGAAATTTAAGGTAACTGGTTTATGTCTTCTCAAATATAAAATATATTCCTGTGTTATGAAGGAAACCATTCAGACTGATTGTTATGAGAGCTTAGTTCTCAGCACTAAAAAGCATGTACCCTCAAATGTAAAATTTGGGGGTCTCTATAGATACAAGAATGTATGTTAGAGGTTTTTTTTTTTTTTTTCTTTTTCCCTTCCAAAAATAAACATTCAATATGTCTCTTGGATTTAGAACCCAAATTTATACTCAGTTATTTTGTTACACCTCAGATCTGTGAAGTGGCAAATTGGACTCTTTCTGCATTAATGCCTTTTGCTGGTGAATTTGCAATTGTCTGGGGTTGGTTTTCCTTAAATTTTTTAGTGTTTTCCCATGAGGACATTAGCAACATACTTCATAACAGGCTTTATTATTTTTTTAATATTATTAAAATTTTTTTTTAAATAACTTACTGTCAAGTTAGCTAACATACAGTGTATACAGAATAGTCTTGGCTTCAGGAGTAGATTCTCGTGGTTCATCACTTACTACAACACCCAGTGCTTATCCCAACAAGTGCCCTCCTCAGTGCCCATCACCCATTTTCCCTGCTTCCCCAACCCCTCACACCCTATCAACCCTCAGTTTGTTCTCTGTATTTAAGAGTCTCTTATGGTTTGCCTCCCTGTCTCTTATTTTTTCCTTCCCTTCCTCTATGGTCTTCTGTTAAGTTTCTCAAATTCCACATATGAGTGGCAACATATGATACCTGTCTTTTTCTGACTGATTTATTTCACTTAGCATAATACCCTCCAGTCCCATCTATGTTGTTGTAAATGGCAAGATTTCATTCTTTTTCATCGCAGAGCAGTATTTCATTGAGTGTGGAATCACACCACACCTTTATCCATTCATCAGTTGATAGACATTTGGGCTCTTTCCATAGTTTGGCTATTGTTGATAGCATTGCTGTAAACATTGGGGTACATGTGCCTCTACGAATCAGCACTCCCGTATCCTTTGGATAAATTCCTACTAGTGCTATTGCTAGGTGGTAGGGTAATTCTATTTTTAATTTTTTGAGGAATCCCCCCCACGCTGTTTTCTAGAGTGACTGCACCAGTTTGCCTTCCCACTAACAGTACAAGAGGGTTCCCCTTTAGATTCAATTTCTTTGCTGCTTTCACACATGGTAGCTATTGTGTAAAGTTGTGACCTTTAGTGTATTAATTTACCTAGCCACTAACTGGAGTGTAGGAAGAAATGAGTATATGTAGCAATTGTAAAACTAATACATCTTCATCATAAAAAAAAGTGTAATGGAAAAATAGCACCTATAAATTCTACTATGTGGATATGACCACTGATAACATTTCGTGTTTCTTCTAATCATGTTTTCTTCTTTTTCCATTAATATAATACAACATTAAATACAAAGAGTATGCAAAGTTACATGGCTCTTTTCGAGTTCAAAATTATTAATATTTTTATGAATAAAAGGATACTTTTTTCTGCAGCTGCATTTGTTAATGCAAATCTGCCATATTTCTAAGTAGTGTATTCTAGTTATGACTACCATATTTATTTATTATCGTATTCATGAACATTTAGCTTATTTCTGGTTTTTAATTATTAGAAATGCCATAATAAACATTACATTAAACAATTCTTCCTTGAAGAAATTGCTTTGTGTGCTTACATGACTTTTTCTTTGCAATCAATCCCTAGAAGTAGAATTGCTGGATCAAAGACTGCATGCATTTAAAATTTTGAGAGGGGTGCCTGGGGCTAGTCGCTAAGGGTCTGACATTGGCTCCAGTTATGATTGCATGGATTGTGAGTTCAAGCCCCACATTGGGCTCTCTGCTGTCAGCACAGAGCCCACATCGGATCCTGTTTCCCTCTCTTTCTACCTCTTTCCTACTTGCATGTATGCTCTTCTCTCAAAAATAAGCATTAAAAAATAAAATTTTTGAGAGAGACTTCAAATTACCCTCCTCAAAAAAGTACTGCTTTGTATCTTCATCAGAAAGTATATGAGAATGCCTGTTGTAGTTATACTTGCACTTTAACTGAATGTAAATTTTTCTTGCATATCTGATTGGAAAGACTGAGCTCTTGAATTTTCTCTTTTAAGATGTGCCTTTTTATAGCTCATCTTACTCTCATAGGGAATATTTTCACCAGTCTGTTTATCCTTTAATTTGGTCTTACAGTCATCTTGATTCATTTTAAATAGTTGTAAAAAAATTCTGTATAGTATAGAGATAGGAAAATGGAGTGGTTAAGAGCACAAATTGGACCTGAGCTACCTAGGTTCCTATTTATGATTAGCCTTCTCCTAGCTATGTGATATTAAGCTAAACCACCTAACTTTTTTGTCTTAGTTTCTCATCTGAAAATGTGACTAGTAATACTAAACTGGGACTAAACCAGTTTTCAGTTCCATTTGTGATATATGAGAATACCTATTTAAACATCTTGCTATCACTGAGTTATCTCTTAAAAAAATGTTGCTAATTTGATTCAAATGACATTTTTTAAAATTTCCTTTTATTTAAAAAAAAAAAAAATTTTTAACGTTTATTTATTTTTGAGACAGAGAGAGACAGAGCATGAATGGTGGAGGGTCAGAGAGAGAGAGGGAGACACAGAATCTGAAACAGGCTCCAGGCTCTGAGCTGTCAGCACAGAGCCCAACGCGGGGCTTGAACTCACGGACCGCGAGATAGCCGAAGTCAGACACTTAACCGACTGAGCCACCCAGGTGCCCCAAAATTTCCTTTTATTTAATTGCTACTGAGATATGAAACATTTGACTACACGTTTCAGAGTGATATCTGAGTTCAAGTGTAAAATTTGACTTGCTGGAAGGAGGGGATACTACATCTTTTCAAAGGATTTATTTTCACTTTCCATGCCCCAGTAGTCTGTTCTTAAGAGACTCATTTTCAATACTCTTTTTCAACTTTCAGAAGTGATTAATGCTTTGACTCCGAGAAACCTAAATTTGAACATTGCCTCTACCATTTAGTACACAGTAGGTGACCTTGGGCAAGATTGAATTTACTGCATTGAATGGATTAAATGAAGTGATAACTAAAGTAGTACCTAGCACTGCTTCTCTTACCTGAAACCCTTGGGGATATGGTAAATTTACTATATTCACTTCTAGGAGGTCTGGGGCAGTATTACATAAACAATACTATGTCTACAGTGAAACATGCAAATATTTACATTACAATGGGTAAATGATTGTGAACTGGCTCAGGCAGGTTTTGCTGGCTAAGGAGTTAAAGAAAAAAATCTTTAAATTTCAGATATTTGGGGACTTTGTTACTGGTCACATGAGATTTCAGTCCTGTATACTAAGAGGACTATTATAACTCCTAAAGTATTAAATTGCCCATTTGCTTATTTAAGCAGCTTGAGTTACAGTTTAATAAAAAACTCAAATGGAACTTGTTTAAAATTAAACATTCCAATGTTAATTTCTGAACAGAGTGAAGAATTCTTTGTGGTGTTTTTGTAACTTTTCTGTGAAGTGTGAAATTATTTCAAAATACAAAGCTTAAAAAACCTAAATACCCTCATGTGAAGTGTGACTAATACTCCATAATTGTGCCTGAGTTACCTCTGTAGAACTATCAGTAGGTTACATAGCAAGTGTAATAGGTACCTTAGAAGCATAGGTTCATTGCAAACCCAGGTATCCTTTATGGTAGGAGTATTTGACCAGTATTTGACCAGTATGAATCTCCTAAGTCTCATATGCAAAATTGTGTGATGTGCGAATTTTTATAAGAATAGGAAGTGTAATTTTCATGTTATAGTCAAAGGTGGAATATAACACTAACCAATCTGTAAGGTCAAAAATGTATTTAATAGTGATGAATTTTAGAGGACTGGTAAATTTACAGGAATGTCATAATAGGTAGCTTCAATGAATAAAGAAAAGTTAAAGGATGCTTATGTTAAGAATAAATTGAGGGGCACCTGAGTGGC